GAGAGAGAGAGAGAGAGAGAGAGAGAGAGAGAGAGAGAGATTGAGATTTATGAAGGTAGAAGAGTTGAGGGCTTTACATTTAGAATTTTGAAATTTTGGCAAAAACAAAAATCAAAAACCCGGATAGACAAAAAATATATATATATAGTCCCACCTGATGCACAGCAGGTCGGTGTTTCTGAAGCTATTAAGAGTTTGTTGTCGCCGCTGAACTCTGAGACAACACTAAGAAGAGCTCCTAGAACTAGGACCCTCTTGACGGGAACGCCCCAGACATCTTCTCCTCCCTCACCCCGCTGAGCGCCTCTAGGTTTTTCTCCTCACGCCCCTGGCATTGCCCAGGACTGTGCGAGGCTGCGGGCTGTCGAAGATGTCTTCCCCGCTCGCCGCCGCCCGCCGGAGGAACCGCCGGCGGAGTCTGTCCACGGATCCAGACCCAGGGTGAAGTCGGGGATAGCTGAGAATCCCCCCTTTGGAGCCCCAGTTCTGCGTTTTGCCAGCCAGCGCAGGTGTGTGGATATCCCAGCTCAACCGTGAGGCGGATTTGGATCCTATTTGGGACCCCCTTTTTGCCATCCAGTCTCCCCAAACTGAGAATGGTCCCCGAGGCTGGAGGAAGTGGAGCAGGAGGCTTGCTTTTTATGTGTTTTTCCCCCCTATTTTTCTTAAATAAAAGCTCGTCTCTGTACAACCACGAGATCCCGTGGCCCATGCGAGGCCCCGCTACCACACGGCTGCCTCGTTCATTTCTGGAGGATGGGACAGGTGGTTCCCGTAGCTGGCCCCGCCGTTGACGGACAGAGATGAGAAGGGTGGGCTGGGCCCGAAGACCTCCGCTGACATGGAATGGAGAGGCCCCGGCAGGCTGGGCTCAGGACTAGGCGAGTCCCCTGGGGGATGTGCGAGGATGTCGGTGAATCGCTGCGCCTCGCTGGAAGGGTGGTGGCCAGGCAGCGGGTGGTCCAGACCTCCCAGCGGCGTCCCCGAAGGCCCAGATGATGGCACAAAGGGTAGGTCCACTGGCGTCTGGGCCTGCGAGGACGGCGGTCCTTGCGGGAAGAAGTCGTAGTTGCCTCCGGGGCCATAGTACTCGCTCTGGTAGTCTGCGGATCAGTAAGGAGGAAGGGAAGGATGTCAGAGCACAACCCGGGATCTAGTGACCCACAGGGCAGGAAAGGCCCGCCAGCTGGCATCTCAGGGCAGCTCAGAGAACTGGCTATTTGGGAGACACCGGAGCAGAATGGAGACTTGGTATAAAACTGGGAGCTGCTCCCTACCCGGGACCCTCTTCTCACCGGGGTTGGGACTTCGGCCATCTCCCGTGACTTGCTCCCGGCCTTTGCCTCAACAGAAAGCTAGAGCTATCCGGCGCTGCCACCCGCTTCCAGCGAAGCCAGCTGGGACTGGGGCCCGCTTTGCCACGCGGCCACACTCACCTCCGTAAAAGGAGAAGGGGCCGTTGGGAATGAGCTCGCCCGGCTCCAGGCGGTCCACCAGCGGCCGCATCCGGCGGGGACTGCGGAAAAAGGCGTGGCGCCGCGCGCCCAGCGCACTTAGCTGCTTCATTCTCCGCTCCTTGGAACGTCGATTCTGGAACCAGACCTGAAGCACAAGGGCACGGGATGAGACCGCGGAGATCCTGCCGGCCAGCCGGTGTGCAGCAGGGCCCAGCCGCTCAAGCCTCCACTGCCCTGATAGCCCACTCCGGGGCGCGGGGGTGGGGGGTAATTGGTGCGTGTGTGCGTGTGTGTATGTATGTAGTGGTCTCTGAATAGGACCCGGCCAAGGGTGCGCAGGATTCCCAAGAAGGGAGTCTGAGTAGACTACTGCCCCGTCTGACTTTGTAGTCCCACTATTCCCAGCAACCACACTCTTGGCATTACACGATCTTAGGGATCATAGATACCAAAACGCTTCAAAATAGTGTCACATACACAGCTTCCCTTTCAGGGTCTCTTGTTGGCCCCTGCCCTCATATCAAGATGGGGACAGAGACACAGAAAAGCCTCCTGCTGGTTGTTCCCCCAAACCCACACTCTCCTTTTCACACCCACACGAAATCTCACAGTGCCAAATACACTTAGCCACAGGCTCTCACCAAGAGTGACAAGCACACAAACCCACATTCATGAGCACAGGGTCACACGGCCTCCCGGAGGCTGCCCTTGTCCGACACTTGGACCGGCACATCCACCCACACGCTCACCTGGCCTCCAGGCACTTTGATTAGACACCCAATACAGCTAGGGCCAGACTCCTGGTGTCCCAGCCACACTCGGTCTGGCCTCTTCCCAAACGCAGAGGCCCAGCTATCTGCAGAAGGCTTAGCCTTCCCATCCTACTCCAGGCTGCAGAGCGGACATCCCATAAAACCATCTCCCCTTCAACCCTGGGCGCCCACCTGCTTTGGGGGGAGGGGGGCAAGCCTCTGTTCTGGGACTTTTCTAACTGGGGCACAAAACTCACAAATTTGGGGTTGGGGGAATTAGAGGGAGGGCTTCTTGTGCAGGAACGGGAGGAAGTGAAGGACTCTGGAGCCCACAGACACCTCTCTGCTCACTAACAAGGGTGAGAGCGGTACAGGATGTGTGCAGAAAGACGGATGCTAGCCAGCTGTTGTCATTGTGATGCTAGACATTGTGTTTTCCTCTCGCTTTTTGATGTGCTCCCAAGCCACTCCCTCGCCTTTCGTGGGCTTTTCCCTCATGTTCCAGCGTATCAGGGCCACCTTTTTTCCTAGTCCCACTCACTTCTGCCCCCCACCCCCCAAAACTCTGGGCTCTCTCCCAGACTCCGCCTAGGTTCCCTAGTGGCCACGTGTGAGCCTTTGGGGAAAAGAGTGGCAAACCAGGGTTCCGACCTGGATGACCCGCATGTTGAGGCCAGTCTCCTGGGCCAGTTGCTCGCGGATATGGCGTGTGGGCTTGGGTGTAGCTGCAAAGGCTGCCTTCAACGTCTCCAGCTGCTTGGCTTTGATCGTGGTCCGGGGTCCCCTGCGCTTGGCACCGAGGTTCTGGTCATCGTTTTCGTTGCTTCCACCTTCCTTGTCCGACACGTTGGCACTTTCAGAGTCCTTGGCATCATCCTGCGAGGGGTCTTGGGAATCCGGAGATAAACTAGGGTCACTGCCTGTGGTGGCTAGGGAGAGAGAAAGGATTGATGAGCAAGGGGCTTGGCCGACTTTCCTTCCCGATACCCACCCTCTAGCCAGCTGGGAATCCTGGCCTCACCAGAGTGGAGGCTGTTCTCTTTGGCGACACTGCTGTTACTCAGGTAATCCTCTTTACAAACGAACTTGTTCTCATCGATGATGTAGAGCTCCTCGCCGGTGGAAAGCTGCTTGTTACACATCATGCAGGTGAAGCAGTTGAGGTGAAACACTTTGCTTCGCGCTCTCCGAACCAGATCGCTTGGAGATATGCCCTGCGCACAACCCGCGCATTTGGTACCGAAACATCTGCGTGGGGTGGGCGGAGGTTAGGGAGAAGTACAGGAGACCGGGTGAATAAAGACGGCCGGGGGAAGAAGTCAAGGGGGAAGGAGGAGAGAATGAAAATAAACATTTATTAAACAAGTGAGGAAGCAAGAGAGAACGCGCGACCACCGGGAGAAGGGAGGGAAAACATTCGGTTAGTGTTAAGGCCCAAGCTTCCGTCTACCTCCAACCTCATGCCTAAACATTATCCCCAGGAAAAAAGCGTCGTGAAAAAAGGCTTCCAAGTGGCTACAGGGGCAGAAGGGAAACCGAGCACGCATTCCCCGATTAGATTCAGAGAAGTCAAATTCCAGTTAAGAGCTCCGTAGAAATGTCCCGCTCTATTCTGCTAGCTTTGCCCTTTTTTTTTTTCACCACAAAAGAACCTGAGCACAGGCGGGGGGTTGGCAAAGTCCGATCCCACCGTGGGTAAACAAACCCTGACTCTGAGAGCTTTGGTGGCTGTAGCTGGGCATTTGCCACGTTCGTGCGCAAAAGCCTGGCAGATTGGCCCAAGCGGGAGTCGCGGCCGGGTTGAGCCGGCTTTGGGTGTCCTGCTGAGCTTTGCCGCTAGCTAGGCTTCCAGAGACCGGCAAGCCGGCGTGGCTTGCGCTCTCCGGCTCGGATCCAGCCCTTGCAGAGTGAAAACGCTGAAGCCCCAAAGCCCAGCCTTTCCCCGGTAGCAGATTGCAGCGCTCTTTTGCTTCACAGTTCCTTCGCCAACAGGAGCCGCGCGTCCGGAATCGCCACCGGGGGACTGCGCTTGCTGGGCCTCTGGGCAAAGGAGGCTCGGTGGCTTCAAACTCTTTCCCAGATTTGACCAATCCTCACAAAACCAAAATAGCGGAGTGAAGTGTGGGATTTCAAACCAGTGGAAAATACAATTTACATCGGAGGCCATTCTTCTGTGTGGAGTTGTGATTGTGGCCAATAATGAGTTTAAGAAAATACAAGTAAAATAGTAAACAGAGGAGAATTTTCCCGGCTCTAACGAGCCGCGTGTTCACCAGGAGGTGGCCTTCCTGGTGGGGCATCGGCTGGAAAGGCCACGAAGTGGAGCCGGGGCTGGGCTTTGGGCCAAGGCCAACACGGTAAGGTTCTCCCAGGTCTCTGCTTATAGGCCAATCAATGTTTGGGGAGACCCCAGGCATTACAGGATTGGCCTCAAGAGCGGGCTCTTCTTTATTGCGGCTTTTTTTTCCCCCGGCCACCGAGACTCTGTAGTTCGGACAAGATCTCTCAGAGAAAGTAAAAGGCAGTGGCTGGAATAAAGCCAGTCTTTCTGAGCTCAACGCGGAGGGGCAACTATCTGGGAGGCCGGGAAAATGCGGTTGGTCGCTGGAGAGCTTCGGTTCGGGAAAGGCAAGCGGGCGCTGCAACCCCTAGGCTGCTCTACCTCTCCCCGCGGCTTGGAGGGGTTTCTGAGCCGCAGCCGGCTCAGACCCTTTCTTCCCAGGCACCTGCAGCCAAACCCGGACCACACTTTCCAGGACCAAATTGGACAGATATCTCGGCATCCAAGCTTCCTAAGAGGCAGAAGCCGGAGGGACTTGGCTGCCCGGGAGAAAAAAAAAAAGGCAGCCCCTAACGCGGCCCCTGCCGTGGCCGCCGCTGACCTCTGATCCAAAGCTGGCCTGGAAGGGCCGGTGGGGAGGGAGCAGCAGAGACGCGGGAGAGAAGTACTCACCGGAAGAAGTCGTTTTTACAGTAGAGCTTGCCTTCCCGGGAGAAGCACTTCTCGGTCAGGTTGCATTTACATTCACAGCACTGGACGCACTTGACGTGCCAGGCCCTGTCCAACACGTTCAAGAGGAAACGGTCCAGGATGGGCCTTTTGCAGCCCGCACAGTGCACCATGGTCTTTGGTTTGGTCCAGTGAGGCTCGGATCAATGGGGCAAGTAGACTCGAGGGGATGACTCCTGAAGACAACCAGCCTGAGTTCCCCAGCTCCTCCAAAAAGAAGAAACCGGCTCAAGCCGGGCAAGCCAAAACCCGCACCAGCAAATCAAAAGGGAAGAGACCAGGCTGGTAGGGGGCAGCCCGGGATTCCCAGGGCCGCGGGGGTGGAGCAGCGCCACCCCAGCTCACCAGGCGAGGAAAATCAGTCTCAAGCGGGCAAGAAAGCGGCTCTTCTGCCCAAAGCCGGAGAAGGAGTGAAGGTCACCGAGAAAGGCGGAGGGACGGAAATAAATAAAATTGAAACCGACTAAAAGGAAGACGCCAAGAGCTCGGGATTCGAGAAAGCGACGCTGGGTTCTCTCCGGCTTGAGGTAGAGCTGTCAGAAGTCAAAGTGCATCTGCTTTTTGTCGAAGTATGAAGGCAGGTTGTGTGCGTGCCAGACTGCCCACCACCCGGTTTTCCCCCTTTTTAAAAAAAAAAAAAATGAAAAGAAAAGAACACAGGAGTAGAACGCTTTGGATCCTACGTTGCGGGCTTCTTGCAGAGACTCGGGACGGTCGGGGCGCCCGCGCTGGGCCTGGGGAGGGGGCGGGGGCGGGCCGAGGGGTGGGGGAGAGGACAGGTTGGGTAGAAGATTTGTTGATTGTAGTTGATGCTTAGGTCCCCCCTCCCCTTGGAGAGTGTTTTTGCCAGTCAAAAATGGAAAGGGACAACTTCGGGCGGGCGCAGCCGGGCGCACTCGCTCGCTCCCCACCGCCCCAGCCCTGTCACCTCGGCCGTTGGCCTGCCAGGCGGCCTTCCGTGTCCTCGGGGCGGCCCTCCCTGCCTCCTTCGGGAAGGCAATGTGGTCTGGCTCTTCACCACGCTTGGCCGTGCATCCTGGGTTCAGTCACAACTCGCGGCCGCTTGGGCGCGCAGCCCCGCATCGCTCGGCCCACGCTCCCGCTGCCTGCGTTCCAGCCCCACAGTCGCTCGACTTTTTTTTTTTTTCCTCCCCTCCCCTTTTGTTGTGGTGGCAAATCTGGTTTTTCTTTCTAGTCTCCTTCCTTTCTTTTCCCTCTCTTTTTCTTTTCCTCGTTCAACGGGAAGCGCCAGGGGGAGGGGGCGTCTCGGAGAGCTTTGGAATAATGTCCTGGTGCAGCGGCTACAGAAGGCTAGCGGCTGGAACAGTTCGGCGCGGCTTGCGGATGTCGTGGTCCGGCTCGCGGGTTCCTGGTTGGCTCTCCCCCGGGCGCGCGCCCCTCGGTCCCTGGACTCCTGGCCCAGTCTTCTGCGCGTCTCTCCCCAGCTCCAGCGGCTCGGTCACTGCTCCTGGCTGTTGGCTGAGCCCTGGAAGCCCCCTCGCCTTAATGCAGCGCCCGCCGACGTCACGGCGGACTGCGACCAATCAGCGCCTCGCGGTCCCTCTGTAAACCATTCTGCATTCCCCCCTGGCCGGGGAGAGTGCGGGGAGACCGCGTTTAGAGGATCAGTGGCGGTGGCCCCGCGCGGTGCCGGCGATGGCAGCGAGATGTCCTGGCCCCTTCCAGGTTTGGTAAGGCGTCGGTTTCAGTGTCAAAGATTGAAAGCAGGCGGGAGGAGGAAGGGAGGAGGCCAGAGTTCCGCGGGAGGGTAAAGGCAAACGTACCGGGGGGGGGGGGTGTCATGTTGGGATTAGAGTGCAACTGGGTTTGGAATCTTGGGAGGTCTAGGTACACAGGCTTTGCAAATCGGTAGGTGTTGATAGCCCGCCCCTTCTTGCTCTTTTGGCCTGGAAATTGCCTCTGGCACACAGCTCGAGCGAGTCTTTGGAGAGGTAGGGGGCGCTTGGCAGCTTATTCTCCCTCCCCGTCTCTCGGTGCCCCCTCCCCCAGTCCAACCAAAGTCCACCCGGCAGGGTGTCTGGGAGACACGAGTGTCGATCTCCCGCTGTGCTCTCTTGGAAAGTTGATTCTGGCGATTTCCTGATGGGGGCGGGGGGGAAACCGGAGGCGCGGCGCCAGGATGGGAGAAGGAGTGGGTGGGGAAGTGCTTCGGGTGAGGAGTTGCAACTCTGGCGAGAAGTTGTGAGAAAATTGTGATCCGGAGACACCTTTTACAAACAAAAACAAATGACTAGGTGGGAAACCGCGGGGCTCCCGCAGCTGGGGGAGGTGGTAGCTGCGGGGGGACTGCACCTTGGCTGCAGGGGAGGGAGGCGTGCAGCGCACTGGCGGAGTAGCCTGCCTCCCAGACCTTCCCTTTTTAAGCTTCGAGCTAGTTCGTTTCTTCAGACATCAGCGGACCATGCCTACCAGAGTACACTCCTTAGGGATAATTCACTTTCCTCATTTTGCCCGCGTTATAAACTCCTGGCCACCACCTACGGGGGCGGGGGCGGATCTGCCTAGGCGTGGAAGTCGGATGCTTGGTCCTGAGGGCTTGAACTTTTAAGAGTCATTCTCGTACCCAGGAGCACTCAAGTTAACTGTGGCGACTGGTTTTGTTTTTTTCTAAGCTTAACCCAAACTTAATCTCAAAGCGATGCTACTTTTGCTCCCTATTTGGGGGAGATGCTAGGAAGGCGCATTGGATCAAATTTGGAAGGAAATAAGGGTGTTACCGAAGCAGCCATATCTAGATGGTATTTCAGAATCTGCCTTTTGAGTTACTTCATCTGTGCACCTGGCAGACCTTCCACAGGGCTAAATTAGGAGAAAAGCGCGCGGAAACGCGGTTGGACTGGCAGTGAGTGAATCCGGGTCCACAAACAGAATACCCTCTTCCAGCGAAGAGAGAAGAAGCTGCCACGAATTTGGCTTGTGCTGGATGGCACTGTTCGTTTTTAGGGCTGTGCCAAGGCCCCCCCTTTCTCCTCTCTTCCACCTCCCGGCAACACCTAAGCTCTCCAGCAGCCCTGCCTTCCTACCGGTATGATCGCAAACCCAACGGGTCAAGGCCTGCCTCACACGCCTCCTCGGCGATCTGCTCCCACCCCCACCTCTGAACGTCAGACCTCCCAATGCATTCTTGGGACCCCTGTCCACATACGCACTCTCCTGGAGCTGCTGTGGACCAAAGTAAGGCAGCTAAACTGGTTAGCTCTCACACAGCAACCCCTGTCCTGGTCTTTTCGAGGCTTAGATAGACTCTAGGCTGAGCCGGGGTTAGAAAGGGGCCCTCCCACCTCTGGGGCGGACTCTGGACTCGGCATCCCGATCTTCCTCCGGACCCGACACTTCCTAGAACAAGTCGACTAGTATCAAGAATTCTGGCACTCCTGGGCGTGCCAAGTGCGGCGGAGCGCCGGATCCTCTATTGCCCCGACTCAAAGCGGGTGCCCAAAAGAAGGGACCATCGGTCCCCACGCTCTTCACCCCCAACTGTTCCAGAACTAGCTGCTACCGCCCTGGACTCAAGCGCTCCTCTCAGGAGCCTATAGTCGCCCAGGTCCGCGGGAGGCTCACACTTGGCTCAGCTGGGCTACTTTACATGCAAAGCAGAGGGGCCCGGGAGGGGGCAACTAAGAAATTGCTGTCGCGGGGACCTGTAGGGTGCCACTGGACTTGGCTGCCTTCCCTTTCCGACTTTCACCTTCCTTCGGTAGGTCGGGGAGAGGTTGTTTTACTGATTTGGGGGTGTAACGACTTTGAGACCTAGGTATGGGAGAAGGGACCTCTTTTAGAGGACGGGGTTGGGCGAAGACAGGACGCTGGTTCTAGGGCATCGTGTCCTGCATGTCTCGGTGTCCAAATGGTGAAGAAAACCGGTCGCCGAGCCAATCCCAGCTTCTGGGGTGTGTGTATGTCAACGAGCGAGGGCAATGCCAGGCATGTCTCTTGGCTCCTTGATTCTCTGTCTAAAATCCATATTTAACACTTCCGCGGTGACAGCACACAGGACTAACGTTTCTCTCCCCCACCCCATTTCCATTGAGCTCTTATTTTGAAATGGAATCAGTAGTGGAGACAAGGAGAGAAAACTGACCCAGCATTCTAAATGCGCCATCTCTGGATCCACAGAGCTCAGCTCTACGTGTGTATCTATGACCTCTGAAGAAGATTCCCAACCGTCCTTCCTCACCTACACCACCACGCAGTCCACGATCTCAAGTACACCCATTTTACTACCCTCCATTCTTCAAAGTCACATAGACCCTCAGCCACTTATACCCCGGCGGGTGTCCTGAGATGCAATTTGGACGCCTGGCCATCATTCAGCGATCACAAAATCCCCATAGGGAAAGGCCCTAGAGGACCCAGATAGGGGCTTCCACAGTCCAGTTTTGTCTTCCCAGAGGATTCTCAAAAATCAGCTCAAAATATGGGAGAGATCCTGTCTCGGAACTGGGGCTGGCCAGCCTTTCCCCGCTCACACACCACTAATCTCCCTTGCCTCCTGGGTCCAGAGCCCTTGAACCCATGTTCTCCACACCCCCTACGCAGTCGGGAGTGTTTCCCACCAACCAGGGACCGTGCTTTCTTAGTCACTGTGGGTCGCTACTTAATTGCCAGAGCAGCCGCTTCCATCCTCCAGTTCAGACCACGGTCCGCATTAAAAGGGGAGAGAGGGCCCGCCCCAGTAGGCTCCTAGGACTGCCAACCACAAAACCCCGTATATCCAGTAGCATAGGTACAGGGAGGCAGGAAGGGGTCAGCTAGATGCACCCTGGATCCCTGCCATCTGGAAGACACACAGACTCGGCACAGACCTGTGAAGATCCGGCTTATGCAACCAAGGAACTGCTCAGCTGGAGTCTCTCTGATCCAGTCCCCCGCCTCTTTCCCTTCCCCTCTCTCGAGGTTCACGCTCTTAATAGGCGGTACTTTCTAGTTTATATCGTTGTCTCTCCTGAACAACGTAAAGGAGGTGCAGGAGAGGGAGACAGATCGTTCTTCTCTACACTTCCCCAGACAGGAACCCCAATCCAAGCAAGGGCGCCTGTTCCTATCCCTGCATACTGAAGGTGAGAAGTTGGGGGAGGTGGGCCTTGCCACGGTGCTCCAGAGCGCACTTCGCTCCGGGGAGGCATTTTCCCCAGCCGAGCTTGGGCAGTGGTAGGGGAGGGACAGGGAAGCCAAGAAAGGGCAGTATCCTGCCGGATGTCACGACGTGCACCTGGCCTGGGTGAACAATCCAGGCTTCCCCTGAGGGCTAGTGGGGACTCTGAGCATGGAGAGGGGGGCCCCCGGTTAGGGCGGCGAGGTCGAGTGTGCTGAACTCAGCCAGTGAAGCTGAGCAATGGCTGTCGGGGGAGAGAGAGGGTGCGTTGAAGAAGACAGACGTGGATAGAAAAGGCGGGAAGAAGAGAAGGCATGCAGAAAAAGCAAGAGGGTGTACAGGGAGGGAAGATGTGTCCAGAGAAACACATGGAAGAGCGAAGCAAAGAGATGGAAAAGACACCCATTGTGGTGGTGTAATCCCAGTGCTTGAGTTCAAGGTTACTACTCAGTGATGTCCAGGCAAGGCCAAGCTACAGAAAAAGACTGTCAGGAAAAAAAAAAGGGTAATGGAGACAAGCTAGAAGCTGAGAATCCTGAAGCTCGCAGCCAGGGTCTTCCACAGGGACCTAAGTGTGCTATGCCTGTGACAGGCACATTCCTGGGCCAGAGAAAAGGAGGTTGGAGTCTGTTTGGTGGGGGACTTAACGCCTATGGAAAGCGTGTGAGCCGCACTGGGCAGGAATCCAACAAATAAATAAAACGTCTAAGACGGCGTGACAACAATGTGTACTTGGGTGCGTGCCCACGTTCCTCTGTGTGAGCACACACTCACACCCGTGAGGAAGACAAACGGGACTCCTGCCTCAGAGTAATTAATCCTTTCCCTAATTGACTCTCTCCCCTTACCTAATGCTGGTGGTCACTGCGGATATCCGGAGAGATATCAAGTGGGAAGGGAGGGAGGCAGGGAGACCCCAAAGCTAACAGCCTTTGGGACTGAGAATGAGTGTGTTCTGAAGTTGGCAGTTCTAACCTCTTATCCTCAGCACCTCCCTCCTTTTTGGATGGAGTTCAACAGATGTTCCTGCTTTGCCTGTCCAGGTTTGGGGCAAAGTTAACAAAGGTCTCTTAGGCTTAGAGTGACCAGAGCACGCACACCGAGGACCTTCTATAGTTCTGCACCTGGGACTTGAAGTCTCTCAGCTGAAAGCCACTCACTATCCCTCTGCTAGACGTCGCCCACATGGCAGTCTCTAACTCTCTTGTTCTCCCCCAGGGGAGAGCATGAGTTACCTACTGTCACTGTTTATTCTTCCAGGACCTAGGGCAGATGCATCCTGCAGTCCCTGACAGAGCTGGAGAGGTTGAGGGTGGCTGGGAAACAGCTTGAGAAGGATGAAAAGAGACTAGGAGCAGGGACGAGGCTAGGCCAAGAATGAGGACAAACTTGGGGAGTTGTAGAAACCCACAGAGTACTTGTCATCCCCGCAAAGGTGAGGTCTCTGGGGACAAAGGAGGAACCAAGTGGCTACTGCTGGGTAGGAAAGAATGTGTAGAGGGTGGGAAGGCAGGCAGGTAGCTGTGCTTCTGTGCCCGGGTGACAGCTCTCGTCTACGTGGGCATGGAGAAGGCTCAGTATGCCCCCACTACACCCTCAGGTCTCAGGACTGGGGAGCAGACGCAGGGGACTGATCTGTTTTTTTGGTAGCTGAGTTGGCTGAAGGGACCCAAGGTCCACTATGTATCTGCTTGATGACGCGTGTCCAGGCTTTGGGAGGTGAATGTCAACTGTCATCCCCGTGAGGTAGCACTGTCGCTTGGCCTCCTCAGAGGCTAAGTAAATAGATTCAGAGACTGGGTTGGAGGGGACACAGCTTCCCAGGGACACAAAACAAAACAACCCACAGCCCCACTGAACACAATTCTTAATTGTCCCCCGGGGGCATTTGTACATTTGACCAAAGCGAGTCCCCAAGCAGTAGGAGCAGTGTTACTTATAGGGACTAGAGGTCCAGAGAGAGTTGAGGGTGATGGGCAGACCAAGAGAGGTGACTGGCGCGTTAGAGAAGGTGAGATGCTTGCCCTCTTCTCCACATCACTGCCATGCTTTAAGAGGAAAGAAAGAAAAAAGAAAGAGGAAAAAAAAAACAAGGGAAAGGAATAAAATTTCAGGGCAGAGAAAGAGAAGGGCACATAAAAGGCAAATAGAAACCAGAAAGGAAAGAAAGTGAGGAAGAAAGAAAAAGGCAGGGAGGTGGAGAGAGAGGCTGCCATAAAAGAGGGTGAAGGCGGCCCCAGGAGGCTGGGCCTCGTCCCAGGCCATCCGTCTTCATTGTCTCACTGTGTGCAAAGGCAACTCCAGCATAAGGAAAAGCCACTATTGGAGCCTCGGCTTTATTTTATATCCTATACATCAGGAGGGAGGCAAAGCTTTATTTTCGCCAAGAGACAGATATTTTATTTCTCTCTTACGGTTTTATGTGTGAGAGATGTCAGGTTGCCACAATGGATGGCTAATACATAGGCAAGAGGAAGCCGTGGTGGCATGCTGTGTGTCATGGGGTCTTGGGGGGGTGAGCGGGCCTGGGATTTAGGGCTGATGGGACACTCTGGGGGATTTCTGCTAAAACATCTCTCTTCATAAATCCACAAGCATGGTCAGCTCAACAGGGAGAAGAAGGAGTTTTCGAGGGAAAAGAGTTGGGCTTAGCAATAAGTGAGCACACAAAGGAACCGCTTACCTCCCAACTGGCTCGGGCAATGGGGGCAGGCACAAGTTCCACTCACCGAGAGGCGAGGGGAGACCTGTGTTAGAAGCAGATGAAGGGGTGAGGAGTGATGAATTAAAAACCTGGAACCCAGAAACGGTGTCTTGCACATTTATAAGGACATCCGTAAATAGACCAGGCATCCGAGGACCAAAGCGGTTTTAGCTTTTTAAATTAAGAGCCACAGGAAGCAGAGGAAGGCTGTGGACACGCGTGCCCTTCACAGGGAGATATGTTCCTGGCAGAGCTGTGTCTATGTGTCTTCTTTTGCCCTGTTTATATTTCGGGTTTCTGTCTGTCTTTTATCCACATCTCCCCTTCCTCAGAAAGCCTTTTTTTTTTTTTTTTTTTTTTTTTTTTATTACCTTCTCAGAGCCTTGGAGGAAAAGAGCCATTAATTTGCAAATTATCGAATCTGTACAAGGATCAAGATGGGTGTTTTCCACTGCTACATTTAATGTTTTGCGCGGACACACACATGCACACACAAACCCATTATGCTGTGAACCCTCCAGTGTAGGTGCCAGATTAGAATTCAAGAAAAGCTCCTTCCTGCCAACCTGCTCCACATTAAGCCCCAAACCTCAAAGTGTAATAACGTTCACATTTTTAAACCCCAGGAGATGGGGATGAGCATAGAGAGACAGTGGTGTGTGTGTGTTGGGGGGGGGGTGTCTTTGAATTAACATGTCCATCTGGACTCGGACTCACTATCTCCCGTCCTTGTGAGCCACCCCTGCAGAGACCACTGCTTATAGGAGTAGCTTTCACTCATTTTCATGTCTTGCTAATTGTTTGATGTGTTGGTTTGTATCTGTTACGTAGCAAAAAGCAGTTATATTCTTCGCCTCATTTCAAAGGCCCTCAGGCAGCACAAGAATTCTCGACAATGAGCAGTGCTACCTGACCACAACTGTCCCCAGACTTTGGAGAAGCTCTTTAACCTTTCTGGGCCTCAGTTTCCCCATCTATATGCAAGGGATTGGGCTAAACGATTGCCGAGGTCCCTTCCAGCTCCGACTTCCTCTGACCGAATGAGATAATGTGTGAAAACACTTTGTAACGGCTAAAGCCGGACGGATGCCAGGGATTATTATTACGATTCTAATCAATCCTCTTTTCTCCACATGGATCTTGGCTGTTTAGCGCCAGCAAGCAGGCTAAAGAGGGCCCAAGCGAGAAAGCTTAGAGATGGAAAGGTTCTGCTGGGCATAGGAAACCCCGGTGTCTCTGTCTCTGTGAAGCCAGGTGGGCAGGGGAGAGCAGCAGGATGCGCCAGGACCCATTTTAGTCCGGGCAGCAGCAGAGGGTGTGTTTCTTCAAAAGCATTATTTGTTTCCAACTGACTGACATAGGAAGGCGATTTGCATTTTTTGTTTTTTCCAGGGAGAAAGGAAAGAACAAGGTGTAGCTGATTAGCAAGTTAATTATTTCAGTACCCCAAGGGTTCATGCGTGGTGGTAAGTTGTCCAGCCCTGGTGTAATTTCACAGTCTGTGCATTTCTTGGTGAGCACCTGGGGTGCCCGAGTCTGTCTCTTTCTCCATCCCCCTGCCTTGTATCTTCCTGACACACCTGGAGGAAGGGGCAGGGCCTGGGGTGGCAGTTGGCACTCTATCGGATGGAGGGAGACAGAACTTACGAGATGCCCTCTACCTCCACGGAGTTGCTTAGTTACTTATCTCTTTCTTCTCCACTAACGTATTTTTTAATTAATATTAATGAGGTGGTTATCAGTAAGTGGGGTGGCCATGAGGTGATAGCCCCAGATTTGGTCTGGAGATAAACTGTGGTCCTCGGAAAAGTCCTTGAGTCTCACCCCCTCCTGCCAGGTCAGCTCTCCAAGCTCTGTTTGATTTCTCACCTCTGGCCACCACTTGCTCTGCAGCGGCCTCCTCCAGCCTGACCTCCCTTTAGGGAGGGGAGGTGGGATTGTGTGGTCAAAGGGATGGATACCTTCCCCCAGAGAGATAAGTGGGAGATGTGAGCATGAGCTGCAGAATTAACAGCTTTGGCTTCTGCTGCTAGGCTGGCTTCCTGCTCGCAGGACGGGAAGGCCCACCCCCTGCCTCTCCTTTTGAGCCCGGCAAAGGGGGGCTCTCCAGTTTACTTAAGAGTGGTCCCATCTGCTCAGACTGGCCTTTCATAAGGGGAGGGATTTATGCAGTGTCCTTGTGCTTAGACCTGGGATTTGGCTGAAAACCTTGGGCCTCTGAGAATATTACCTAATGCTGCAGTACTCAGTCATGGAGATGATTCATGAGTTTTGTCTTCGTGGAGTGGAGCGTGTGTGTGTGTGTGTGTGTGTGTGTGTGTGTGTGTGTGTGTGTGTGTGTGTGTGTTACTTTCTACTGTTCGCACTTTGAATCCAAACACAAGGAGACTTCTTTACTTTCTTTTTCTTCTTTTCTGTATTGCCTCAGGAGACGGCCATGGAGGGCCGACTTCTCGACTTCAGCAGCGTGAGGATGACACAGTACTCACTGGTGCTGCCATTCTGCTGTCCCCGCTCAGGTTGGCTGCCACCCTTGCTGATGGAGAGAGGCTGGAGGCTGTCTGAGAAGACAGTGCTGGTGCGTGCTGGTGCGTGCTGGTGACGACTGCTTAGCTGGTGATGATAGTATTTGTAGAGTAGGGGTGAGTCCAATTGCTGCCCAGATTAGGTTTGGCCTCCCTGGCCTCACAGTGCTGGGTGTGCGGGTAGGACAGGAGCTGGTGAGGAACTTCACCGGCAGGAAGATGGGCCGAGGGAGAAGCTCCATGGATGGTGGCGACAGACCATCAAGGAGAACATCGAAGTTCCATGTGGAGTCCTGGGCAGATTCAGAAGGACCTCTAAGTGTCATATATTTATCTTCTCTGGGACAAAATGTGACATCTTTTCAGGGTCAGAAGCCAGTAAGCTCTTCTTCTGGCACCTTCTTAACTCACATCGGAGTTTAGCCTTACAGATGGAGACCCTACTCTCCCAGCCTGCTAGTACTGCTTTACCTCGGGTCATTCATAACGGAAATGGAGCCGGCTTCCAAGTCCCCTGACCAGCCTTCATTCTTTTTGATTTGTTTTGTTTTGTTGAGACAGGGTTTCTCTGTGTGGCCCTAGCTGTGATGGAACTTGCTCTGTAGGCCTGCCTCTGCCTCCCGAGGGCTGGGATTAAAGGTGTGGGCCATCACAACTGGTGAAACCTTCATTCTTTTTGTTGTTCCTGTTTGTTTTGTTCTGAAACTGGTTCTCACTGCGTAGCTCTGGCTGTCCTGGCACTCGTTAGATAGACCAGGCTGGGTCTTGAACTCGCAGAGATCTGCCTGCCTCTGTCTCCCAAGTGCTGTGTGCCACCGTGCTGGGCCTTCCACCTTCATTCTTGGAGGTGGGCTGGTCTGTGCCTGGGTGCAAGCTTGTTCTCATTTGGGCCACAGCAAGGATATAGCTTCTTCTTAAACAAAAGAAGCAGGGACCCGATTTGATGAATCTTCTCAGGAAGGATTTGCCAATAATTTGATAAATGCAATCTGTTTTCCCTCTTCTGAATGAGTGACTTCGTCAGTCAGTCCCAGGGCCTGCAGAAGCGTAAGGATGCTTGTGTTAGCCTTCCTGTTTTGCTCGCACTGGGGTTTGGGCTTGCTTCTGACAGACTAGGAGGAGCAGACGCATTCCAGACCCGGAGCCTGGAATGTTATCTCTCCCCAAACCTCAAATCCTCACCTCCCTTTATTTCCCTTTGCCACAGATGCAGAGGCCTCCTAGCGAAGTGTGAAGGGATGCCCTCAACCAGGGTTGAAGAAAGGAAGCAAAGAAGGGGAGCCCAAGGAAAGGTGGGGCCAGTTGGGATTTTTAGGTAACACTCTTCTGGCATACTTCTCATGTGTTGTATGTTATGATCGCCGAATTTCACGTTTATTGTAGTAGCCTGCCGTGTGTAGGCCAAATGCTGCTTGGCCAAAACAGTGTTAAATAAAACTGTAAGAAATGCTACCAGGGCTTTGCATGGATTATTTAATTCTATCAATGACAAACAACACTAATATGCAGCATCTCGCCCGGCACAATATCATGTTTCATTTATATATGCTGAGACATATTTAAGCATGAAAGATACTGTTTCCCGACACATACATTTCCCAGTGATTACTTAGAAGCGTGATAGAAACGGCAGGAGCCTCTCCCACACATAAACCTGCACCATCATACACACAGACTGCCTGTGACACACACTCACACAGCTAGCCTGCCACAAACATATCTTCATCTATGTGCTCTCACAGGTAAATGTAAGTGTGAATTTAGCTTTATGCACTTGTATACCATTCCAGGTCCGTGTACCAATGCATACATACCTACGGCAACATCTCAGGGTCTCTGATGCATTTACACACACTTTTTTTTCGTACACATACTTAGACTGTCACATAAACATCAACATGGGTATCAACTCACACATAGATCTTTACCAGACATGTGTAAATGTTCTCACTGCCGTGTTCAGACAGCAGACTGTGTACTCCATTAGGAGGGGCCTCCGCACAGGTACCTGTGTGTCTGTGTACAGGTGCACATCACCACTGCCATCCCATGCTGACATCCACTCCCCCGAATTTGTGCTGAAACTTCCCCAGTGCAGAGACTGTGGGCCTGTGTCACCATGTCCACCTTAGTCGTTCATGTCACAAACACCCCAGAGGGACACAGAAGGGCTGGGAGAGCAGATCAGCTCCTCTGATCTCTGTTCTGCTACGGGTCAGCTGTATGCGAGTCTATTTGTAAACTGAAATACTGGCCTACATGGGTGGTTCACTCCCTGGCTACAACAGTATAATCATCAGGGAATTTTGTTTTGTTTTGTTTGTTTCTTAAAAAACCCAGGTACCTGGACTCCAAACCAATCTAATCAACATCTTTGGAGGGAGGTTCCTAGCATCTGATTTAAAAACCAAAGAACACTTCCAGGGGGATTCCATGTTCAGCCAAGGTTAAGAACCATTGGTCCAGATATTCTCTGAGGTTCTTCTACCCCTAAAACTTAATGTCCTGGAGCTCTATCTATCTCTATCTATCTATCTATCTATCTATCTATCTATCTATCTATCTATCTATCTATCTATCTATCTATCTATCCATCTATCCATCTATCTATCCATCCATCCATTCATCCATCTATCATCACCATACTCAACCGTAAAGTCCTCTGCTGGCTATCCTAAATTCACTTGGAGATCATAAAAAGCCATTAAAAGTATTCTTGGTCCGCCCGCCCCCCCAGACGGGTTTCTCTGTGTAGTTTTGCACCTTTCCTGGATCTTGCTCTATAGACCAGGCTGGCCTCGAACTCACAAAGATCTGCCTGTCTCTGCCTCCCGAGTGCTGGGATTAAAGGCATGCGCCACCACCACCCAGCTTATTTTTCAAGACAGGGTTTCTCTGTGTAGCCCTGGCTGTCCTAGAACTAGCTCTGTAGTAGACCAGGCAGGCCTGGAACTCAGAGATCTGCCTGTTTCTGCTTCCTGAGTGCTGGGATCAAAGGCACATGCCGCCACTGCCCAGCTAAAAGTATTCTTTCAATTTAGAAAGAGAGTCACTTTGTAAAAGCTATAATTGCCCTGCAGAAAAACACACAGCAGCATCTCCAACTCTTGTAGACCTTCTAGCTCTCCAACTCACTCATCCAACTTTAATGATATGACATATATGTAAATGATGTAAGCCGCTATCTGCCCCATGGGATAGAGATACCTTTGGCCAGACACATATTTCCTGTCTGATTCTTCCCCTAACCTGTTTTGATAACATGCTATTTTTAGCAGGGAAGATGAGAAGGCATGGGTCCTGAGTGGAGTGCTCTTTTCCTCCGCCAGCTGGGATTCAGGGAACAGCAGCCCCCAGGCCCATGGCCCAGTTCTGATGCTGAAGGAAGCATTGAGCTGTGTGTCCTGGAAAGCCGTTCTCAGACCCGGGCCTTTGGGAATCCCACACTAATATTCTCTAACAACAGTTCCTGTCCCCCTTGAAAACCAACCCGCTGGAGGAGGCCGAGCCAGGCTGAGGCTCGGAGTCAAACCCTGCCGGGGGTCGCTGCAGCCCCCTCTCTCCTTTGGAGGGTGTTTAGAGGAAGGGGTGGGAAGAGCTCATCCTGGTGGAGGGCACCCACTGCTCCCCCATGTCAGCACTACGTTGGGTGGGTTTTCAGGACCTCTAAGACAGGTTCTCTTTCCCACTGTCTCTTTCCTCCCGTCGGCCACCCTGTCCAGACATTCTAAAACAGTGTTTACATTTCTTTTCTCCTCCTTTTCTTCTTTCCTTCTTCCTAGTTGGGGATGGGAGCCAGGGCCTTGCACAGTCTAGGTAAGCACTCCACCACTGAGCCACACACCCAGCCTGGACCACTTTTCTTTAGGAATACTGTGCCAGCACGGCTCCTTTGTGCAGGTGAGCACTGGGTTAGTGGTCAGGCCTGAGGGAGGCCCTGGTAGGCCAGGGCTGTGGTGCTTTTGCATGTGCTTTTTGCATCTGTCTATTCTGTTTGCCTTTTTTCTTTTTTCTTTTTTTTTTCTGCCTTCCCTTTCATTTTATCTCCTTCCCCAATGACATTCTGAGCCAGACTTTGACCACAGGAACATCTCAACCCCAGCAGGGCACAGTCCCTCCTTCCCCTTCCTGCCCTCTCCTGAAGAGGGAACCCAGATATGGTGCAGAAACTTTGGATCCGAAATCCCGATCCAGAGAGCCGCTTCCCAGCCTGCTTCCCCTGGGCCTGGGGAGCATCACACCCCAGGATGCCCCAGAACATGATGGATTCCCCAGGCACCTTCAAAGGGCTCAGCATTTGTTTGCAGTGTGGACCTTGAATCTTGCTCTGGTCATAAATGTTGTTTATTTTGACGAGGACCTACTGAAAGGGGACCGTGGGGCAGGGAGGGCAAAGAGAAATCAATGGGGGAAGATCATAAAGCCATTAGCAGGGTAGGGCTTGTAGGGGTCACAGGATCACAGAAATTTTCAGACTAGAGGGAGCACAGGCCATCGGAAAGGTCAGAGATGGTCATTATGTCATCAAGAGGCCTCTAGGGGCCACATGGGGCTAGGGTGGCGTCCTGAGGCCTCTTATGTGGAGAATCTTTCTAGAAAATGGAGGCAGGGTGTGGGGCATGACCCCCCAGTAACCTTCTACCAGGTGGAGGAGGCCAGGGGTTGCTAACCATGATGGATATGCCCTCCTGGGGAGCAGAGCCAACTGTCAGATCATATAGCGGAGCCTCCTGCGTGGGGGAATGGGCACAGCTCCCGGGTAAAGAATTTGCCTCTGCTGTTATTTACCCAACACCGAATATATATCAGGTACTGTACTTGGTCCTCTTCCGGTACCCTGTCTTACTCAGTCTTCAATATAATTTCGAAAAGATGTTTTCAATATCCACTTTGCAGCTAAGAGAGTGGAGATGGCTTGTTCAAGGTCACACAGTAAGTTAGTGGTAAGGCCCAGGTTTGACCTCACACTTAGATTTTTTTTTCTTCCTCTGTCTCTCTGTCTCTGTCTCTGTGTCTCTCTGTTTGTGTGTGTGTGTGTGTGTGTGTGTGTGTGTGAGAGAGAGAGAGAGAGAGAGAGAGAGAGAGAGCGAGAGAGAGAGAGAGAGAGCTGGGGACTGGTAAGCTAATCACATGCTATATTACTAAGCTCTCAAACTTAGGATTCTTCAAACTTCATCCCCCCACCTCCACCACCTTCTACCACGCACTACGGTTCCCTGTAGCTTTAGAGACCAATGAGAGCAGGGTTCCCCTCACTGTAAAGCACGGGTGGTTCACAGGAAGCTCAGGGACAAACTTACAGGGCCGGACAGCAGAGCCTCTAACTCTTTCTGGACTCTGGAAGAGACAGACATGGCTCATTCTGCAGAGACCTTGCTCCCACAAGCCCACACAGTCAGGAACACATCCTGCTTGTCTTGCACTACTGTGTGACTCAGGTCAAGTCACTCCACCTCTCTGAGCCGTACTTTGTACTTTCTGGATCCACCTCCTGACCTTTGTGGAAGTTGAGGGGTGGTAGCTGATTTCTTTTGTACCCCCACCCCCACCCCACCCCCGTTTTGTGTCAAAGCTGGCGGATGGAGATGAGACTTAGTTTTGCCTCTAAACCTGATTTGGATCAAAAAAAAAAGTCCCTCAAAAACCAGTGAGGCAAGCCTTGTTCAGCTCCCCGCTGAGAAGCGAGAGGCTGAGAGCCACAGCCTGGGCCACGGAGCAGCAGCTTAAGCTGCTAGTTCCTCCCTGATCCCCTGACTGTGTAATCCAGTTGCTCACAGAATGGAAAATCCCCTTCTCCTCCCCCACAAAGGCCTCCTAAGAGGTCTGCTGGCTCTGGGGCTCTAATCTGCCCAGACATCACTCGGTGAGCAGGTTGCCAGGGTCCTCATCCCAGCTGCCCCTCGGTGGGAGATGAGGACGGCTGAAGCTGTGGTCCAGGAGCTGAGGGACCTCCTGTGCTCTGGTTTGCCCAGAAGATCAGAGAAGCAAATGGGCCTTGCTGGTGAAGAGAGAGAGAGAGAGAGAGAGAGCTTCTGGGATGGCCCTGGGGCTCAAGATGGAGGGAGAGAGGGAGGGAGGCAGGCAGGAGAACTGGTAGCCTGGCTGAGGTACCTGGGTGGGGCTTCCTATTAAGCAGTCCATCATTCGACCCACCATCTTCCTTTCCTTTTTTCTTAAAAGATGGTCCTCCCACACCTTCACCTCCCCCACCCTTCTCTTTTACTCATCCATTCACCCAGCACTGACAGCTGCCCTGTGGGTGAACTCCTGATTCTCCTGCACTAAAGACCGGGCAGGGGCTCTGGCCAGAGCCACCCCCAGTCCCAGTCTTCGTACATGTGTGCTGGGCTTCCCTGAATCAGACCAAAGAGGAGAAAATGAAGGCTATGAAGAAAGAGGCAGGACCAGGAAGGGGAAGACAAGGAAGAAACGGGCGGGTGGCAGAGGGATTG